GCGCACCCGCGGACAAACCAATTATATGGTTTTTGCGGGGCCATATTTGTGCATATTTTTAATTTGTGTCATGTAATGTTTTTCAATAAAATAATAATAATAAAAAATAATTTTGCGCTCTGACCGCGCTTGACTCGTGCCGGAAATTATAGTACACCTTCACTTGTGATCGAGAAACAAACGGACAAATACTTCCTATATTATATTAAAACACGAATTCAACCCTGATGAGGTAAATATTTCGGAATTGCTGCAATCCTTGCATTCTGTCTCTTTTGTAATCCATTGAGTAAGAAACATCCTGTATATGCATAAATGTGTTAATAATACTTAGTAATTGTAATTTTAAATGTTCCGAAACTCATTTTCGGTTTCGACTGATAACGTAATTTTATTTTAAATGTGTTTCGGATGTTTGGGTTCGGACTGGAGCAAACCGAGAGTTCGGTCTCAACTTCGGCTGAAAAAACAAGTTTGGTTAGAATACTGTTCTGCATGCACACTTGTTGATTTGAGATACTGGCTTATAATACGTGCTGCAATGGATATAAAATTATGTACATGGGTATTTCAAAAACTGACAAAATATGTTAGTTGAATAATGTAAATATTTGTGGGCGTGTACCAAACAAAAATAGTAATTTTTCCATAAAATAATACTTGACTATAAAGTCGCTAAATCGCATGTCGATTGAAAATAAATGATACAAGAATCATACCTTTAACGAAGATTAATTGATCATTGAAAATACTTGATACTTTTTATTTTAAAACAATTGCTTTTGCATTTTTTTAACTACAAAGTGTAAAAAAGTGAAGTTGCAAGTTCAATTTGCTATTTTTATTTTTTAATTACATAAAAAGACTCATCAATGCCAGGAAACTTGAGTTTAACTTAAAGGTTTCTTTGCAAATTCTAGGTCTAAGTTAAAAAAAAAACTGTAGAAATAGTAACTCGTTTTTCCTTCAAAGTAAATACAGATAATTCACGATACAATTACTAATTTCATATTTAGTAAAAAATTGTCACTATTACGATAATAATGCTAGTGATTTAAAAAAATTTTTGGCACTTCCGGTCATTTTACATCTGTCTATTAAGTTATTATATGATTTGCAAATTCTATACAAATTCTAGCTTCACATAAAGGTTTCGTTGTAAATAAAAAGTTTTTCCAACAATTTAAAAGAGGAAAATATTTTTAAAAACAGATTATTTCGACGGAAGCGACTGTTCTTAGTATTTTATATTGTTTTAACTAAATAAAATGTGATTTTTTTAGAAGTCCACACAGACACGTGACAAAAATTTTAAAAAATGACGTCAGCGTAAACATTTTAAAATCAACTAGAATTCTAACAAGTTTTTACCTTAAAATTTTTAAACAGTGTAATCGTAGGTTTCCGCCCACACAAGACTAAACTTACTGTTATCCCTGTTTATCCCATAATTACAACAGCTTGATAGTTTATTTGTTGTTACAGGCGGGCATCTATGATGTCACCTCGACAGCTGATGCGGAACTCTAACATGACACAGAAGTGGCAGCGACGAGAGATCTCAAACTTCGAATACCTTATGTTCCTTAATACGATCTCAGGTAAGTAGTCAATGTAGTCAATCTTTACGTCCCACTGAACCTACCTTAACTTAAGTGTAGGCCATAAACAACAACAGTGTACTGCTTGAGACATCTTTGTATTTCTCCACATATTAGTGGTGGTTATAGTTATAGGATGCTTTCATTTACCGTAAGAACATTAAGATATTGTACAGTCGGACAAACTGACGGTGTTCCACTTTGATACGAGACACAGTACACAACTCAATACCACGTAGCTTATATGTCTGTACGATCTCTGATTTTTATTATCCCTTCGTTAGCATCAGTCACTGCTATCCAATTATTTGTAGGAAAAAAAAAGGAAGGCAATCTTTCCTGAAGTCACACCGCGGATTTCCGCGACTGTACATTTTTAAAATTGATAAACACATTGGGTCTAACGACGTAGACCGGTCCGGTGTTTAACCACTGTACCATCGACGCACTTGAAGATATATTTTATTTATATAGTCCATCGCCTTATATAAATCTTTCAAAGTTAATGAATCCCAATTAGTAAACTACACTATCGGTTATAGAGAACCGCAACATAACGCAGCGGTCTGCATTTGTCTCGTTATTGCAAACTGATATCTTATGATATAACGTGTTACATAAGTTATGTACTAACGTTATATTCTCTTTGTTAGCACTTGTCTTAGATATAATTGGTAAAAACAACAAATGTTACGGCATCGACCTACATAGAAATGGTTACGCGCCATATTTAGTGACACAAACCTTTGCTCAACACTGCATTGAACTGTTGTGGAAATTATCTAGGTTAAAAGTTGCCAATTGCAATAATATTTATTAAAATAAAATTAGTACGCCTGCTTATTCCGTTTTACCAACCGTCGGACTCAAGCTTGCCTTTCATTAGATGAACTAGCTTTAGCCCGCAACTCCGTTAGCTTGTAATTAAAAAGTAACAAAAGAATGTTTATGTGTTCTTCCAGACTAACCACTACATTTATGCCAAATTTCATCGAAATCCGTTCAGCCGTTTAGGCTACAATCTCTCACAAACATCTAAACTTTCGCATTTATATTAGGAAACAATATCAACGACTCCTATGAGAAAGGTGTTTCTTTCTCTTTCGCACTTCACATAGGTTATTACAGAGAGCAACAGTAATTCCATTCATTTCACTATCACGCATAAATCATTGTGCTCTAAACTATCTTCTTCCTTCACATTACTCTGTGCCAATTCTTAGTCGCACGTGATAAAGGCAGAACCCGCTGATTCACGCTGTACTACCAAAAAATGAACTTTACTGTTAGGAAATTAAAGTCCAATTTTCTCTGTCAATGTTATAATGTTTCTTGTGACACAACTTATTTAGTGTATCCCTGTCTACGCCAACTGTAAATCTTGATAGCTTTTGTATTTCTAATGATATTAAGTAAGGAAAATATGTAATTTTCTAGCTTCCTGAAGCGCTAAACGAAGTTATTGATATGCAATCTTGATGTCATTTTATTAAAATTAAAAATACAGGATGTTTTAAATCGGCCACACTTTTCAATACTGAATGAGCACTTATAGAACTCAAAACCTTTTTTTGTTATCTTACTTTTTTGTTTCTAGCTTTTTAGTTGATTTTAATAGATTTTTGTATAGTTAACACTCGACACTTTCCTAATCTACGGGGGTGCCATAAACAATAAAATGCATTTCGAAATTCGAACTGAAAAAAAGAATAGTCATCGACCTAGTCATTTTAATTACGTCGTAAAAACGTAACCCAATTAATTGTTAGTTTTATGTCGTTAAAGAAAATACATTGTATAAAGAAAATGCTGCTTAAAATTACATTTTCTATGTAAATTCGCTACTTTCTAAGGAAGTCATATCTTAGTAATTACTTAATTTAAAGTATATCCTAATTACCAGTACTGAAAGATGTCATGATGTACAATCTAGGTTATATGCTAGTTTCTAATGTGCCAGGTGTTATACAAATATATCCTCGAAACCCCAATTTGTATGTGAAATATTCCATATTGTTTAAAATTCTATTGTTCAATTAATTAACAATCTTTGCAAATACTACGGCTAGAGTATCCCAAACTTTGGTTTTGTGAATTTTATTTTAATAATCCTTTGAATTTACAATGACTATACTTTTTAATGAGACAGATTAAAAAAGATTTCACAAACAGATAACTAGTTTTCTAGATTTATGAAAAAAATACTAACCTAAGGAAACAATTTTTGCTGCTCATTATTGCATTATATTTATTACTATTTGAAAGCAATAATAATTGAAAAGCTTAATTTTATCCACAGTCAATGTACTGCCAATAGCCCAATGGGTAAAGGTGCGGATTTCCGACCACATGGTCGAGAGTTCAAATCCCGTCAGTTGAAGTAAAACTATATCATAGTCCGAGTAGATCGTAGTTAAAATTTCAGAATATTGGAAGTTATCAAAAATCTGTTTAAATAAAAAACATTATTTAGGAGATAACACATTAAAATCAATATTATTAATAGCTGTTCTAATGCGACTTCATTCGCATGAAATTATAAAAAATTGTTAAAATGTCAAATTTTCAAGTACAAATGTCAAAATGACATGATATGTTGTCAAACCATAGTAACCTTGCTTCCTTGATGTTGGCAATATTTTATGGTCTCTTTCCCACATTAGGGTTTTTATCCAAAATATTTACCCCTAAGTTTAACGGCGTAAAAATATAAAGCGTGACCTAAGAGTAGCGCTTTTTATTAAAAAAAGAATTATGCTAAAATATGCTATAATTGCTGACGTCAAAGGCAACAAAGAAGTGTGTGTTTACGCTTTATAATAATAGTATAGATATAGATTAAACATAAGGTTGAGAAGCACTGGTGCTTTACACAGTGTGACTGTGTTCTAAAAATTAGTTGTTTGTGTTTTAATAAATAAGGAAAAGACTATAAATAAGACTAAACAGATATATTGATATTTTTGTGAGGTTTTACGTTAACAGAAGGCGCCTGTACTATTTTAGTTCTACTTTTGCCCGCCAGGCTAATTATCGCACTGTATTTACATACAAGAACAAATACACCATCATAAAAGCAATTATGTATATAATCGGATTATGAGCAATTTACTACTTATCATTATAATCATTACATACTCTGTTTACATTGTCAATTACATTTGAAACATAATTATCATATCGAGTTTACTATTAACATATTGTTACTAGATAATAAAGCTATTTATTAAGAACTATAAAGCAGATTTATAACACGCATTTCGTAGAATTCTAGACACAGTTTTAGTAACATAACCTAAAAATATATGAAATGTTGGTCATCTTAATAAGTACTAGCTGTTCCCGTGCGGATCCACATGAAATTGTATAAGCTTAATTTTTAAAATTACCGTTACAATAATAAACTTGCTTCCTTAATGTTGGCAGCTTGTAGTTTATGGTCCCTTTCCCACATTAAGGTTTTCTCACGTATTTACCCCTATGTTTAATAGCGTGATAATACATAAAGCGTGTCATAAGTATAGGGTTTTTTTTATTAAAAAAAATATGTTGTGATTGCTGACACCCTACGCCACAAAGTGTGTGTTTACGCTTTATTATATTAGTGTAGATATAAAAGTACAGTTAATGAAAAATTGAATACCAATGTTATTAGTTAAATGCTTTAGTAACGTTATATGAAAAAACTATTGTTTTGACTCTTATATTGTTGTGATGGCGCTTTTTATGATAATTTAATTATTATTTATACGATACTGATTCACACACTTTTGCTAAGGCATGATTAAATTACTAGCCCAGCTGTTTTGCTATTTAGTTTACAAATGTGTTTGTTTGCGTATCAACTTACAATTTACTATTCTGTAATGTACACTGGTAATTTAATAACAAAGTAGGTAACAAATTGTAATTTGATAGTACATTCTTAACCTATAAAAATATTTTTAAACTATGTCTAATTGATAAAAAGCAGCATTTATTATGCGAAGTACTGACTATATATTTTTATTGTCAATGTTGGAAGTTATATAATAATATATCCTTTGCCCGCGACTCCATCCACGTTGAATTAAAACAAAAGTTAGTAGCCTATATGTTCTTCCAAACTATGCTCTACATCTATGCCAAATTACATCCATATCCGTCCAGCCGTTTAAGCCACAAACTATAACAAACATCCATCCATCCATCTCATCATTTCCCCTGCCTTATCCTACTCCCGTAGGGTCGGCGCCCGGGTTTTCGCCCTCTAAAGCAATCTATCATCCGTCATCTCATCACTCCCTTTTGGATCATGTCACCTTTCACGCAATCCATCCATCTCTTTCTAGGTCTACCTCGACTGGTGTACCCCTCCAGATTCATAACTAACGTCCGTCTTGTTACATGCGATTCATCCCTTCTCATAACATACCACTCTAACCTTTTACTCCTTATTTTCGTCCATCCATCTAAACTCGCATTTATAATATTAGTAAGATAATTGTTACCTTAATAACTTAGTTGATTTCATAATGACGACACGGCAACTGAAATTCAATACTTTACATTGTATATCTGCATTCACCGTTATTCAATTATTACTTTTTACCTTATTACGATAGATTGAGGTTTTTCATTTGTTTTTGTTAAAGTTTATTTTGAGAACATCTATACACAGATTCGTTAATTAGTACGCTAAGGCTCAGCATAGATTAATTCTATACTAAAGGGATACTTAACTACTCAACAAATTTTTATTTGCGGTGCTACTTGGTTTAAATTGTCAGTTATTTGTGACTTGATTGAAATAGTTGCTATTGACGCTGATGGCCTAAATCCAACAAAATTGTCCCATTAGATGTGTAAATATAATCAACACCAGTGGTTCCCCAACTTCAATACAAAATAAATCATAGTCTCGAATGATCTTCTATTGTTTTCTTTGAAAAGAAATAATGATGGTTTTTTTATAATATAAGGTGGCAAACGAGCAAGCGGCCACCTAAATCCACTGAAAT